GATGACTCATAATTAGGTTTCCTGTAGGGTTGTTATGCATTTCAAAAATAAAATTATATGCATAACAGTCACTTAAATTACCATATTGTAAAAGATAGAGCTAAGGATTTTAGTGAGAGAAGGTCCTGAAAATATGGAGCATTTCTGACAGAAATCCTTATTATGTCAGCAACTCACATTGTTCTAGGAAAGTATGTGTGCATGCAACCTAATCATCATTAAAAGAGGTAATTAGTCATAAAATTAACAATTGAGTAATGGGCCATAAAAGATTAAAAAGTAAAATACTGAGAAGCATACTGGCTAGCCCCTCAGTCCAAAATGTGAGGGAGGCAGAGCTAGGAGGGGGCTTTAAATTAAAGGAGTAACATAAAGATGTTATTACTGTCTGTTTTCTGAAAGGGCTTTCCTGAATGGCAACCCTGTTAAAAAATATATCTTCTCCTACTTAACTTATGACATTTTTTGAAGTAGCTTCTTTCTCCTACGTATAGGGTTGGAAGTCTCCAAAAATATTATTCAAAAAGTCTGTGAACAGACTCCACAGAAAGTGTCAAGCCTAAGAGGAATAAGACATGATTACACGGGTTAGTTAAAAAAAGCCTTATGAGCAAAGTGACTCTCAGGCACATGACAGGAAAAAGTAAGCATGGAGAAGCTGTAGCATAGCAACAGCAGAAAAGCACAGAGTGGACAAAATGCAGGAAAACATGTGAAAATAAATGTAGAGAAAACATTCAAGAGTGAAAGAAAAACAGCTTTAGAACTCAGACTAAAGTAGAAAGCAGTAAGTATAGAAAGAAGTGGGTTTTGAGACAAAAACTTAATATTTTTAATAACAAAGATTTTGTTTGTAAAGAGAATCCTAACTGCACTATGAGTAAGAATACAAAGTAAGAAAAACCAGTCAGTTGCTAAAACCTTACAATTTTCCCATATCCATGTATTGCCTATGTTATTTAATTAATAACTTTCTTTAAACAGACTCACTTTTATTTTAACTTAAATGACATCTCTTGACTTACCAAAGCAAAAATATCTGTAAAACCATAGATTTTATGTACTGGCTATATTTTCTTCCAAAATGTCTGAAAATAAATATGTAGCTATTGTAATTTAAGAGACACTTCTACATTTATCACCTAAAATAAGATTCTATATCACCAAAAGTAAAGGTGCTACACTTTAGGAAAGATTTCCCTAAAATACAATACCCTAGCTGAACAAAGAATCCTTGAATATATAGAAAACAGTGTGGTCCACTTTCCTAAGCAATAAAATCACCTTATATGAGTCCCACCTTAAAGGTACTAGAGTTGCATTCTGGGAATCTGCATTTTAGTGGACACCACATAGGTGACCACTAAAGTTTGAAAGTCTTTGAAAGCGGTAATCACCGCATAACACAAAAAGGCCCCCATGAACCCTTCCTTCTTACTCCTCCACTAATTGTAAATTGCAGCAACAAAGAACCAGTTGACTTTCCCTCATATGGATTAGTATTTCTTACTTCCTGCCTTGAGTTCAATCTCTCTTCTCCATTGCAATTGTTTCAAATAAAGTCTTACTTGCCTTTTAACTCTGTTGCTGAAATGTTTTTTGACATACAGATGCTTCCTCAACTTATGATGAGACGTTTACTTATGATTTTTTTGACTGAATGATGTTTTCAATTTATGATGTATTTATCTTGATGTGGCCCCATCATAAGTTGAGGAGCATACTGAACTTATTGCACCATCATAAAATCAAAAATTGCAAATCGAACCATCATAAGTCAGGGACCGTCTATAATCATGAAACAGTGTCAAGAGGTGAACCGATTGGCAGAATAGCTTTTTGTCCTACTAGTCTTTAAAGATCCAGGATGACAAAGCCTCTGTTATTTTCAATATATGACTTCCTGCATATTCTTGGAGATTATTTCCTTTTCAGCTGGCAGGTGAATGCTAGCCATTTCTGTAAGTACTATAACTGGCTAAGACAGTTATGGTACTTTGTAGTTTAGAGAGTGCTTTATATAAACTACTTAATCTGATTATTTTAAGAATCTTATGGCATAAAAAAATGGTGGCTTCTTTTGTCAGTTTTACAGATAGAGAAAAATCAGGAAACTTATGACTTGATCACAAACACACACGTAAGTAGTCACAAAGCTGAGACCAAAATCCAAATTGTAAATTCCAAGTTAGTAACTACTTCCATGATAGATTTATAGATTTATTGAATTAATTTTTCAAGAGGGACATTTATTTAAGCATTTCTTACTCTCTTTACCGTAGGTTTTATGAAAGCAGTGATAGACGGAAGATTAAAAGGATAGAACCATTCACTTCAAAGACTTTTAATATTAATTTGAGGTTCAAATATTCCATTTTAGGTGCTTTGAAT